ATCTTGTTCCTTCTCAGCAGTGACTGAAACTCTCTATTTGTAAACTCTGTTCCGTTGTCGGACCTCAGGCATTTTACGCTGTCATACGGAGCTACATCTGCAAGGAATTTCTCTGTGGCCTGAAGTGCGTCACTCTTTGCTTTGAGAAAGTAAACAAACACTGCCTCTGAGATTCTGAAGTATTGTGCTAAAAACTCAATAACTTAGATTATTATTTATAGTTTTGCTGAATAGTTTCATGTCCGCTTACCTTAGAAACGTAAAATGCCACGGCAGTGTGCAGATGGGGAGCATGTTAGCTTAGCTTGGTAGCTTCAGCTAGCTCTGGAACTTTCAGCTCGGTGGCAGTAGGTCCTGCCTCGGCTCTGCCTCTTTGCCCTTATTTGGAGCAGGCGGGAGTAGGCGGTGTCCTGGGTAAATTACCGTACAGCCAATCACAACTCGTGACGTCATTGCGCAGAACAGGGATGACGGATGCGACGGAAATACACCCGAGCAGATATGGTACCCCGAGCAGATATGGTAGTGACACCGGCTCTTCCCCAGGGTTTGCCGCTTGGTTGTAACCTACTTGCTGCCATGTTGGACAGGTCTCCCTTGAAAAAGAGATCGATGATCTCAATGGGACCATCTGGTTAAGTAAAGGTTTAAAAAAAGAAAATAAATTATTTTAAAACATTTAAAAAATCGCGGTAGATTTTGTCAGTCTCGACGACGGTAATGAGAAATTTATTTTCCGCAATATTCGATATATCGTTACATCCATAGTATTTGCCTATTGTTTACCTGTGAGCAGATATTTAACAGCAGCTTAGTTTCTTCAGTCTCTATCTGCGAAGTGGGGCGTTTCCATTGTACTGTCTTCCTCTCCAGCTTATGTAACTGTCATTTATTAATAACTTGCTGAAAGATAAGCTCCTCTGGTTATCGGCTCGTAGCAGTCACTAAATATAAACAACTAATAATCTGCCACATAGAAATATATTGTTTTTTAGTTTGAATCTTAATGATTCTACAGCTGGTATGGGTTGAAAGAGACTTGCTATGTGGGGGCCACCTGTGTCACCCGTGAGGTGATAGACATATGATATAATATACACATACCTTTTCAAATATCCAAACTTTTTTGATAAATAAAATGGAAAATCCACTGCATGTCTACTCCCTAAATACACATTACCTTGCACAGTTTTGGCAAAAATGATCATCGTTAATATTTGTATTGCACTTTCACTTTTAAATAAATACTTCAAAAGTTGCAATATTGCTTTTTACTGCAAGATGTATAAAAAAGTTACTGGAATAACTACAGAATATTTTAAAGGTTAATGCACCAATCTCATGCACTTCATGCAGGCTTAATAAGGAGGATAATATTATGCTGTTTAATAAATTAATAATCATATACACATTTAGTATGACTGATCATCTTACATTCATCCGTTAAACTGTTTCAGGTTATCCTTTTTAAGTATATCCTGTATCCGATAGGGTAACTGTTTTCATAAAATTCTTACTTCTTTTATTCATCTTTGTCAGTCCCACTGTACAATTCACTGCTTCTAACATCAAGCCTCCAATAACATGTTACCTAAGGTACCGATTATAGACAACCATTTTAAACTTCAATACTGAACAAAATGACTTTAATTACTGAACCTGGTTAGGATATCAAGTGTATTCAGAAACATGTTGGAATAAGGGCAATTGAGTGCACACATCTCCTGAAGAAGGTTTTGACTATTTACAGTACAGAAGTAGATAACATGGATAACCATATTTTGACATTTCTAAAGCCATTATGCAATGTTCATTATATTAAATGAACTTACTATATTATCTAGGTCATTAAGGAGACCACGTCCTGTATTTAAAGCTGCTCAGTGCTATAAGCGTTCCAGTTATATGTAACCGCTCGGCTCAAACTGGTTTATTCAAAGCTTTGCGATGAGATTACAGTAGGTAGGACCTGTGGCATATGGTGCAGTATGTCAGTAGGACTGGAGGAGCCAACCGCAGCAGACCTTTGCCCTGCTGCTGCCCAGTTACCATCAATCAATCATATTTCATTAATACACCCCCAATATTACAAATTAAACATTTGTCTCCGATGGCTTTACAGTGTACAGCAAACAGCCCCTCTGTCCTTAGACCCCATCAGCGCACAAAGACATTTTACCACCACTTATTGAGAAAAAATATCCCATGAACTACAGTTGAAGAGCTATAAATCTACTTTTTTGCTGAGAGGCAGATTACATTTTTAGGCGTCGTTACACATATGCTTAATTAGAACGATCACATAAGATTTCCAGAAACAAAAGTCTAATACATAGAATTCATAGACAGAAATAAAGGTAAGAAATTAGGCCCGGCCCAAAAATCGAAGGCTCCGATGATGTTTTTTGGGGTTTTCCATCTCCTGTTGTATAGGTTTTTGTGCAGGTAAATGGTTTGCAAAGGCTAAAATGCGTATTTGTATGTGTGCACCTACAGTTAGCGCTAGCCTTGAGTTTGGGGCTTTTTGGTTATACAATATCAGCCTGTGTGTATTGATGTGTTTCCACCGCAGGTATCCGCCAGCTCCAGCTGATGCTCCTCAAAGTGAGTCTGATTCTGGGAGTGGAAATCCATGTCAACGTTGAGTTTGTCAAGCTTGTGGAGCCACCAGCAGAGCAGACTGAGGACGGTGAGTGTGAGTGTGTGTGTGTGTGTGTGTGTGTGTGTGTGTGTGTGTGTGTGTGTCTGTCTGTGGGTCTGTGGGTATCGGTATGTGAAAGGGTCTCCTGCATATCACCCATGCTATATATGGAAAGCAATACATATGCTAAAGTGATCACAAGGTTTCCTAGAGAGGAGGCATTTGCACTGGCAGCGTTTATATCTATGGAAAAAAGTCTATTGATAGTCTGCTGGTAGCTACATTTTTGTGGTGTTTTGAGTGTCCTAAATATGGGGTATGGGGATTTTTTTCATTATTTAAAGCTCCAGTCATAAACACATGAACACAATCATACCCAGTGGTCCAACGAGAAAAATAAGCAACACCCTGTAGCTGCTATATACGGCAGTTAAGAAATGACCACAAAGCCTCATGTGGTTAGAAAAAAACATCCCACCACAAGAAACCCTATTGAGTTCCTAGTAGGTATTATAACTGTCCTCCAGCAAGACCTTTGCCCCAGCCTCCTGTCATCTGCCTCTCCTTTAGATACAAGATATTTACTCGCACTCTCTTTAGATAACGTGTATGTGATGGTATACTGTATAATCCATTTGAAGTGGCCCCCAATGCTTTGCTGTATTCCTCCTCAGGTCCTGGTTGGCGAGCAGAAGTCCGGCCCTCCAGCCATCCTGTTTCAGAATTTGATTTTGATGTAGTGATTGGAGCTGACGGACGCAAAAACACATTAGACGGTGAGCAAGAGGGAAATAACTCACAACAGGAGTTGGGTTTATTTATGGCAATCGATTGATGAAGTGGCAGCCATGATTAGAGCTGTTGGAATTCTCTAGATCATAGGAAAGGAGCTTTAATGCTTCATTTCTTATCTCCTTTAGCATAGGATACACCCAAGCATCCTTTGCAAAAGGAAAGGAAATAATGCTGTCCCACAAGTCCTTGCGGCAACAAGTGTCCCTTCATGGAAACAACCGGTCATGACGACAAACGCAGGGTTTGTCCTTCTACTGAAAATGTTACTTTTCGTAGTTGGATTATTTTAGCAATGCCGTTGTCTTTTCCTAAATCCTGATGACAAATTTGGACATTTTGGAACGGAGCAGCGCACATTTGTCATGTGACGAGGAACAACCAATCACAGCCAAGAGCTATCTTTAGTTCTGTAAACATAAGTGGGTAGAAAATATAGACGGCCCCTTATTCTTCACTTATTTCCTTAACCCAATGTCGTTGTTACTGAGGCTTACCCCGGGATTCCACCGGGTCCGTCTGTGCCACGTTACGGCTACGCCGCGGTTTTGTTCCAACCTCCGAACAGCGTCATACCCAACGCGGTTGCCGAGCGTCTTGCGTGCCGGCTCGCAGATTTAGTTGATTTGGGCATATTTCCTGGACAGGCTACTTTGTGCAAAAAGACAAAGTTAATAATAATTGTAATATCCCAGTTATAAACGACATGAATCAAAGATGTGTTGCTGTATTTTAGTGGTAAAAAAATTAATTCATCATCATAATTATTCTATATATATAATTTACATAGTGCCTGTAAACCGGCGGAGAAAGCTGGCATTTCTCCTCCTACTTGAAAGACTACATAGGGATAGGGTCTCCAACATTAGTTTATTTTGGGGATTGACTGGATGCTCTGACCGTTTCACTTCCTGCCCGACGCTATGCGACGAAAATAGACCAGCCACCTATTTTTTGCGGAGCCCAGCGCCGAGACGCTTCTGGGACACGTCTGGGACACTTCTGGGACGCTTCTAGCCGTAACGCGGCACTTCTGGTGGAATAGCACCCATTGACTACTAGAGTGACCGCCATCGCTGTGAACGCCGCGGCTCAGCCGTAACACGGTGCAGACGGACCCGGTGGAATCTAGGGGTTACGAAGAGTGGTTGGGAAAAGACATAAGACCTACTTTTCTTGTCAGTTTGACCGCAGCCTAGATTTGTTCTGTACCCACCTTTGTATGACAAATGTTGCATCACTGCAGTATTTGTTATTTTCAGTTTAAAAGTGGTAAATGTGATGCATTAGCATAAGGGTCAAATCAGGGTTAGGGTTGGTGTTAAGGATCCATGGTTGTAATTGGTTTGGACTAGCCTATTCATCTGTGTGTGGTTCTGCTATGGTCTGGTCACAGTTTTTCCTCTCTGCAGGTTTTGGTCGCAAAGAGTTTCGAGGGAAGTTGGCCATCGCCATCACGGCTAACTTTGTCAACAGGAACACCACAGCAGAGGCCAAAGTGGAGGAGATCAGTGGTGTGGCCTTCATCTTCAACCAGAAGTTCTTTCTGGAACTCAGGGAGGAGACAGGTGAAAGAAAAATGTCTACCAGCAACCAATTTACTCTGTTTGAGTTGTATACAATACTGGCCTGTCTGTTTGCCTCTCCCACTGTTAAGCCTTTTTACAGCCTTCTAAGTATTGTTTGTTTGTCTGATCCTGTTTCAGGTATTGACCTGGAGAACATCGTTTACTACAGAGACCACACCCACTACTTTGTCATGACGGCCAAAAAGCAGAGTCTTCTGGACAAAGGGGTCATCATAAATGTGAGCTACCACTAGGGATGCTCAGATCGATCGGCCGCCAATCGATACCGGCCGACATTCACTCTCTGCCGATCGATCGGTGCTCTTTAAATGCCGATCGCGAGAGCCGATCACATGACGTAAAATACACGACACTTTTCTCTGTGTGCGGCAAAACAAGCTCACCAAAATGGCTTCACCGGTCTGGCAGTATTTGAAGGTGTCCGAAAAAGACAATAAAATAGCGGTATGCAACGTGTGTGAGGCAGAAATCCTGCAGCTCCCCCGCTGTGACGGACCGGTGAGCGGAGCAACACACACTAAGAGTTAGAACTAACACACTTAGCTATTTGATCTACCTCTGGAACAAGCTAAACTAGTTATACATATATTTATTCTTCACTGTCGGGTCACTCATTACTGGATCAGTAGCATGAGATACTGACAGGCTGTCAGGAGAGAGAGAGAGAGAGAGAGGGGGGAGAGAGAGAGAGGGGGGGAGAGAGAGAGAGAGGGGGAGAGAGAGAG